GTAATTATCACAACTTTACAAGTGTATTTACTTTTTATTTTTATCCTCTGCCACTGATCGGCTTGTTAGCCGCTTAGGCGATCGGTCATCTCTTTCATTTATATTCTTCACCAAAAGATCGGCTCACTTCTGCAGGGCGTCGGCACAGTCAAGGATGTAGTTTTGGAGTGTGTGGCCATATGTCTGGCCACACACTTCACATTTATGTTGTTCACATCTGCCTGAGGGACATACTGCCAGAGTGTGTGGCCATATGTCTGGCCACACACTTCACATTTAGTGTTGTTCACATTTGCCAGAGGGACATACTGCCAGAGTGTGTGGCCATATGTCTGGCCACACACTTCACATTTAGTGTTGTTCACATTTGCCAGAGGGACATACTGCCAGAGTGTGTGGCCATATGTCTGGCCACACACTTCACATTTAGTGTTGTTCACATCTGCTTGAGGGACATACTGCCAGAGTGTGTGGCCATGTCTGGCCACACACTTCACATTTAGTGTTGTTCACATCTGCTTGAGGGACATACTGCCAGAGTGTTTGGCCATATGTCTGGCCACACTTCATATAGTGTTGTTCACATCTGCTTGAGGAACATACTGCCAGAGGTACTTATATCCTAACCTTAGTCTATCAGTTACAACATCTTATAATGTAGTGATGTTGTTACTTGCTCCATATACTTGTTTCACTTGATACACCTCATCATGGTTAACTATGGATCGACTAATGCCTGTTAGCACTCATCTGCTGCATTCATAAGAACACTGAACAAAGTGGCACTTTAAGCTAAGGTTTCTTTGCTCATAATGAATTTCAGATCAATTACATCAATATTAAGGGAGATATGTAGACTTTACCCTTCAATTTATAGAAATAAATGGAGCTGTAACGCCATTATTAATGGTACATCTGATGTACAGTACAGTACAGATGTCCATCATTAATACTACAACTGATGTACAGTACAGATGTCTCATTAATGCTACAACTGATGTACAGTACAGTATAGCACAGAACAGAATAGTACAGTACAGATATCCATCATTAATACTACAACTGATGTACAATATAGATGTCTCATTAATGCTACAATTGATGTACAGTACAGTATAGCACAGTATAGAACAGTTCAGTACAGTACAGTATAGATGTCCCTCATTAATGTTACAACTGATGTACAGTATAGCACAGTACAGTACAGTACAGCACAGCACAGTACAAAACAGTTCAGAACAGTACTGTATAGTACAGTACAGTACACTACAGTATAGTACAGTTCAGTACAGAAAAGTACAGTACAGTACAGCACAACACAATACAAAACAGTACAGTACAGAACAGTACAGTTCAGTACAGAACAGTACAGTACAGATGTCCCTCATTAATGTTACAACTGATGTACAGTACAGTACAGTACAGATGTCCCTCATTAATGTTACAACTGATGTACAGTACAGTATAGTACAGTTCAGTACAGTACAGTTCAGAACAGTTCAGTACAGCACAGCACAGTACAGCACAGTACAGAACAGCACAGTACAGTACAGAACAGTGCAGTATAGTACAGTTCAGTACAGTACAGATGTCCCTCATTAATGTTACAACTGATGTACAGTACAGTATAGTACAGTTCAGTACAGTACAGTTCAGAACAGTACAGTAGAGAACAGTACAGTGCAGTATAGTACAGTTCAGTACAGAACAGTACAGTAGTCCCTCATTAATGGTACAACTGATGTATAGTACAGATGTCCCTCATTAATGGTACAACTGATGTATAGTACAGATGTCCCTCATTAATGGTACAACTGATGTATAGTACAGATGTCCCTCATTAATGGTACAACTGATGTATAGTACAGATGTCCCTCATTAATGGTACAACTGATGTATAGTACAGATGTCCCTCATTAATGGTACAACTGATGTACATTACAGTACAGATGTCCCTCATTAATGGTACAACTGATGTACAGTACAGTACAGATGTCCCTCATTAATGGTACAACTGATGTACAGTACAGAACAGTATAAATGACCCTCATTAATGGTACAACTGAAGTACAGTACAGTACAGATGTCCCTCATTAATGTTACAACTGATGTACAGTACAGTACAGTACAGATGTCCCTCATTAATGTTACAACTGACGTACAGTACAGTATAAATGACCCTCATTAATGGTACAACTGAAGTACAGTACAGTACAGTACAGATGTCTCTCATTAATGTTACAACTGATGTACAGTACAGTACAGTACAGATGTCTCATTAATGTTGCAACTGAAGTACAGTACAGTACAGATGTCCCTCATTAATGATACAACTGATGTAAATAAATGTATCTTTAACAGGGTGAGTTAAAAGTCAATTATAATAGGAGAAAGTTATTTATTTCCTTGTTTACAACGACTGATTTAACTGAGAACTATTTACGTGAATGTGTTGTGAGGTTGGTGATGTAGTCACTGAAGAGCGGCGACGTACAGTACAGTGTCTGTAAAAAAAGAAAAGTTTCCACTGAGAAGGTATATTAATACACCCTGTACCTGGATCCTAGTGGCAGGAATGTGGACTGAGGACCACCATATGTACGGTTGTAGTGGAATTCTCCCCTACAAACGCTGTTTGTCGCTGCCTAGCCGACCCCACCAATTCCCCAGTGTATGCCTCGTGGTCTAGGTCAACCAGCGCCGCCATACATCACGGAGCGGGGGTCAACTGCTAAGCCACGCCTACCCCCGCTATTTAAGACCTGACCTCGTGGTGATCTCTCTCTTTCTACCTACACCAACCAGCCAGCAACACCTCCTCCGCCTGCCTGGCGGTCCTCTCTCCCGCCGGCGAGCATGGCGACCCACAAGGTGTCCTCCTCTGAGCATCCTCACCAACCAGCTCTCTCTACATCACGCTTGTAACCATGCTGCCTTCCCAGCACCAAGCTGCATTGTACATCCAATACAACATGTATATAGAGAGCACATTGTGAGTTTCCTTTCTCCAACTCATCCTGAGTGTGAACCGGGGAATGCTAATTGGTGGTCTAGAGGTAGCATTCCCCGGTCACAGTCGTGGGCCGTGGGTTCGAATCCTGGCGGGGTGGGGTGTTGATTATACATGTATATATATATATATGGAGTGGTGTTTAGTGGCTTTACCCCTAAGACACATAGTAACAGATAAATAACTAATCAGCTACGCTACAAAACTTTCCTTACTTTACAATCCTCTAACTATAAATTCTTACTCTACCTGTAACTCTTAATTTACAAACATTATAGCATTAACCTCACCTCATAAACATAATGGTCATGTGTACTGTACTCCACTCGTTACTTTTAACAACTTGTCAAATGTTACACAATGAATTCAAGGTTCACTATATAGGTCAAGAAAAATTGACTTTGAAAAACACTTTTATTTACATGGGATATGCATTGCAATCTGATTTAAATAAATCTAACACTATAATGAAGTTAACTAGAAAATGTGAAAATTGTAAAGCCCTTAATACAGTACAATGTTATAATTGATGGTATCACAAAACTGTGTATCAGGTAAAGAGAATCATCCACACTTGACCACAACCACCATATACTTTTCATTTATTAGTGACATTTTGGCTCCAATCGGCTTGGAAAAAATGCATTTTCCTCGACCAGCGTAAAGTTCTTTCAACAATTAAATTCTATTATTTGCATTATAAGTCCAACAAACATATTCTTTAGGGTATACATTTCCTGTGGGCCATTTAGTAATGTTAATGTATTCCACGTCAACAACTCCTCCTACAGACATTTGTGTCCCAAAAGGTGCAGCTGGTTGCAATAGTCAGCGACAGATACAGTATGCTAATGAACACATGTTTATAACAAGTAATGATAAACAAACATCCAGCAGTTAGACATGTGAACAATACATTACTTAATAGTGTTTACTGTATAATAAAATACAGTAGAACCTTGATAAATTGGATTAATTGGGGCAGGCTACAGTCCATAAAATGTAGGTCAGAAAAAAAAACCCGAATATGTGGGGGAAGAGAACACTGCTATCTGAATTGTTTAAAGAAAATAAGTTGATGTTATGTTATTACTGCACTTGAACAACTGAAGTCTTTAAGTGTATAACAAGGTTATTAAAATATTATAACGTCAACAATAAAAAAAAATGAAATGGAACTCTCTGGGTTGAAATTTGGATATATAAGTCAGGTTGTCAACAACTCTGTTGTCACGGAGATGATTGTTATTTACTGTAAAGTGTTATATGTAAGTAACTACAGAATTTGCCTAATGAATAAAGAGAAAACTTTATACAGTACAGTACTATAAAGCTAAAAATAAGTGTAGGAGTATATTGTATGTGGAAGACAAATGTTTATCTGGGAGCAGAGGGGAGGGGGGGTAGCATTGGTGGGTGGCTCCCTCCCCCTAACTCCCCCAAGGTTCCTTTAACACTTCTTTATGCAATTCCACCAAAATTCTCATATAATTTAGGATCATTTGGTACCAGGTTGATAAAATATTTTCATAAAAAAAATCAACTTTCCTGATAAAGAATCACACACTGAACACCATGAGTCATTGTTTACAAAGAGCAAACAGGTGATTGGCCTACCACAATGTCTGTCTTCAACACTTAGTAAATTAGTACATTACAGTTGTGTATTTATCATCACTTAATACCATTGCAGTGTATTTATCATCACTTAATAAATACTACTGTAGTGAATTTATCATCAATTAATAAGTAATATTATAGTGTACAATATTGGGCATCTGCATATACCCTGGATTATTCATTAATCATTTGTTAAGTGTACAAGTAGCCAAACTGAGTCATCATATAACACTCAAAGACAGTAAATAACATTTTTAAGAAGGTATCTTCATATCAAATACTATAGTGTGTGTGTGTGTTATATGGTCCCTGTTGTAAGCCGGTCTACTGAAAGCTCACAAGAATGCATCTTGAATAAACAACCTTCTGATATAGCTTATCCTTTTATTTTCAAGTCATATTACAGCTTACATACAGTGTTGTAGTTTTTCTCTATTACTGAAGACGTCATATTAATCATGATGAACCATAAACCATAAGAGGCCAATCATATGAAAATATAATACTGAATCAATAAATAAATAAACCTGACAAATGTGGCAACACCTGATCAGCCCCAGTCCACTCAGAATGTCTCAGTTCTAAGTAGGCCTATAGCAAATCTAATATGATCACTGAACAGTATTCAGTGAGTGTGGTTCATTTCACAAGATTTATTTTTATAAATTTTTCCATTTCTTAAAGCACTTTTAATTTTTTTTTTTAGTATTTCTGGTGACCAGAACATCTCACAATCCGAAAAAAGCAAATTCCAATATGTTGAAGTCCGATTTATTGAGGTTTTACTGTATTCACACTACAGAAAAGTACAGTAGTTAAATTGGTGTACTGTATAGGCTTGACAAACTATTTCAGGAGCAACAAAAGTAACTATGACTTTGTTGGGCCCCATATAAACTTCAATACCAATTTAAACAATAGTTTTTGTCAATGTAAAGTTCCAACATTATACCATCAATTTTAATTAAAAATAACAATGAGGACAGAACACCTGAAATATATTTAAGCATTTCTCTAGACCCGTAAATGACACAGAGGGAAAACTTTACCGATGACCAATTATCTGGTTCATTAAGGCTTGTACAGTTTCAGAAAATTAAATAACATAAAAGGTAATGTTTGCTGGTTATTTACATTGTGTTACACTGAAGATGATGATGTATCATTAGGGTGTAATATGAACTTCTCACATTTGATGCAGAACTGAGCTTTATATTCTAATGTCAATTGTGTGCATACTGTACAGCCAACTCCTCACATCTAAAGAAAATAAGATTTGCCAAATGACCATCAAAATATATATTAGGAAAAATACAAGTTGCAATAACAAGTATATGATGTCGGCATAAAAACAAACACATCATATATATTACAAAAATCCTCTTTTATAAAACATTAATTTCTGACCCATTAAAAGGTACACACCAACACAAGTAAATTAAATGGCATTTTTGTCAACAAACAAAAAATATAAAGTCTTAAGGGACTTCAACTCTGGCAGAGAAAATACAAAATAGTAAACAAAAAGTGAGACGTTATCACCCACCAGCTGGATATAATAATCATTCTTTCAAGAAAAGTAAAAGTTGCACTCCAAGATTTATTCAATATGTTACCAAGATAACCATACTGTACTGTACTTGTGTTTAGTGACCTCCAATCTCTGTACAGCACTTTGTGATCACTCAAACACAGTAAATGGTCCATGTTACAGACTTTGTCAAGTATAAGTGCAACACTACATTCTTGTCATGAATGTGGATCCCCCATATGATTAAACCACACAAAATACAGCTGATGATATGAATTAAAACATAAAAGGAAACCACAAGGCTTTCAACCAAGTGTGTGTCCCTGTCCACGGAAGATGCCACCACCACCACCACCTCCTCCACCTGCCCTGGGAGCTGTAGGGGCACGTCCAAAGCCTGACACAACTCCTCTTTGATTGGGGAAATAGTCGTACCTGTAAAAAGTTAATTAATTTTAGACACTTTACTGACCTGTCTCTACAATGGCTTACATGTAGAGCATGTTTCTCCACTATAATAAGGGGTGGCAGAAATTATTAGTAATTATGGACTTTATTTACTATAATTCAATCACTTTTAACTGCTGTACAAGATGTGTTCTGCTACAATACTCTTCCACAAGGGTCCAATATAACTATCACATTTTTCTGTCACTTTAAACTACGTACAATTACTTTTCCCCAACCGTTTGGATGACCCCCCACCCTAAAGTCAACCAACTGTTACCTAAAGAGAAGTGAGAGAGGAGGCTCTATTTTATAACAAACACACTGTACACCAAGTGTTTTATAACAAACACACTGTACACCAAGTGTTTTATAACAAACACACTGTACACAAAGTGTTTTATAACAAACACACTGTACACCAAGTGTTTTATAACAAACACACCGTACACCATGTGTTTTATAACAAACACACCGTACACCAAGTGTTTTATAACAAACACACCGTACACCAAGTGTTTTATAACAAACACACTGTACACCAAGTGTTTTATAACAAACACACTGTACACCAAGTGTTTTATAACAAACACACTGTACACCAAGTGTTTTATAACAAACACACCGTACACCAAGTGTTTTATAACAAACACACTGTACACCAAGTGTTTTATAACAAACACACTGTACACCACTGTAGTGTTTTATAACAAACACACTGTAATTAAGTGTTTTATAACAAACACATACCAAGTGTTTTATAACAAACACACTGTACACCAAGTGTTTTATAACAAACACACTGTACACCAAGTGTTTTATAACAAACACACTGTACACCAAGTGTTTTATAACAAACACACTGTACACCAAGTGTTTTATAACAAACATGTACACCAAGTGTTTTATAACAAACACACTGTACGTGTTTTATAACAAACACACTGTACACCAAGTGTTTTATAACAAACACACCATAACCAAGTGTTTTATAACAAACACACTGTACACCAAGTGTTTTATAACAAACACACTGTACACCAAGTGTTTTATAACAAACACACTGTACACCATGTGTTTTATAACAAACACACCGTACACCAAGTGTTTTATAACAAACACACTGTACACCAAGTGTTTTATAACAAACACACTGTACACCAAGTGTTTTATAACAAACACACTGTACACCAAGTGTTTTATAACAAACACACTGTACACCATGTGTTTTATAACAAACACACTGTACACCATGTGTTTTATACCAAACACACTGTACACAAAGTGTTTTATAACAAACACACCGTACACCAAGTGTTTTATAACAAACACACCGTACACCAAGTGTTTTATAACAAACACACCGTACACCAAGTGTTTTATAACAAACACACCGTACACCAAGTGTTTTATAACAAACACACCATACACCAAGTGTTTTATAACAAACACACCGTACACCAAGTGTTTTATAACAAACACACCGTACACCATGTGTTTTATAACAAACACACTGTACACCAAGTGTTTTATAACAAACACACTGTACACCAAGTGTTTTAAAACAAACACACTGTACACCATGTGTTTTAAAACAAACACACTGTACACCAAGTGTTTTATACCAAACACACCGTACACCAAGTGTTTTATAACAAACACACCGTACACCAAGTGTTTTATAACAAACACACCGTACACCAAGTGTTTTATAACAAACACACCGTACACCAAGTGTTTTATAACAAACACACCGTACACCAAGTGTTTTATAACAAACACACTGTACACCAAGTGTTTTATAACAAACACACTGTACACCAAGTGTTTTATAACAAACACACTGTACACCAAGTGTTGTTTTATAACAAACACACCGTACACCAAGTGTGTTTTATAACAAACACACCGTACACCAAGTGTTTTATAACAAACACACTGTACACCAAGTGTTTTATAACAAACACACTGTACACCAAGTGTTTTATACCAAACACACTGTACACCAAGTGTTTTATAACAAACACACTGTACACCAAGTGTTTTATAACAAACACACTGTACACCAAGTGTTTTATAACAAACACACTGTACACCAAGTGTTTTATAACAAACACACTGTACACCAAGTGTTTTACAACAAACACACTGTACACCATGTGTTTTATAACAAACACATTTTATAACAAACACACTGTACACCAAGTGTTTTATAACAAACACACTGTACACCAAGTGTTTTATAACAAACACACTGTACACAAAGTGTTTTATAACAAACACACTGTACACCAAGTGTTTTATAACAAACACACCGTACACCATGTGTTTTATAACAAACACACCGTACACCAAGTGTTTTATAACAAACACACCGTACACCAAGTGTTTTATAACAAACACACTGTACACCAAGTGTTTTATAACAAACACACTGTACACCAAGTGTTTTATACCAAACACACTGTACACCAAGTGTTTTATAACAAACACACTGTACACCAAGTGTTTTATAACAAACACACTGTACACCAAGTGTTTTATAACAAACACACTGTACACCAAGTGTTTTATAACAAACACACTGTACACCAAGTGTTTTATAACAAACACACTGTACACCATGTGTTTTATAACAAACACACTGTACACCAAGTGTTTTATACCAAACACACTGTACACCAAGTGTTTTATAACAAACACACTGTACACCAAGTGTTTTATAACAAACACACTGTACACCAAGTGTTTTATAACAAACACACTGTACACCAAGTGTTTTATAACAAACACACTGTACACCATGTGTTTTATAACAAACACACTGTACACCAAGTGTTTTATAACAAACACACTGTACACCAAGTGTTTTATAACAAACACACTGTACACCAAGTGTTTTATAACAAACACACTGTACACCAAGTGTTTTATAACAAACACACTGTACACCAAGTGTTTTACAACAAACACACTGTACACCAAGTGTTTTATAACAAACACACTGTACACCAAATGTTTTATAACAAACACACTGTACACCAAGTGTTTTATAACAAACACACTGTACACCAAATGTTTTATAACAAACACACTGTACACCAAGTGTTTTATACCAAACACACTGTACACCAAGTGTTTTAAAACACTCGCTAAACTTCACATAGCTGAAGTAACAAGTTGTGAGAAATCTGTTAGGGGGATCGGTGGTAGAAGCGGTACCGTTCTTGCCTCGCAAGCGAGATGTCCCGGGTTCGATTCCCGGGCCGGTGGAAGTTGTTTGGACTTGCTTCCTAGCCCCCATTAGTCCCTGTTTACCTAGCAGTAAAGTAGGTACCTGGTGTAAGTCGAAAGGTGCGAATTCGTATTCAGGGACAAGTTGTTAGAGCTTCCAATAACTTGGACATAAACCACTGACTCTTCAGGCTTCTATGCCCTTAACTCATGAGACATAAAGGCAAGCATGAACTTAGCATGCTTCCCTGTTGGGCGCTGTAAACGCTTCTGCGCTTCACCTTACACAATGATGTAGGGGAGTGCCCAATTATATATATAAAAAAAAAAAAAAAAAAAATCTGTTAGTAAGTGAACAAGAAAAATTTCCATATGATAAGTTGTCCGTGTGAGTAAAGACACTGATGGGAGAAGTGGGGGGGACAGCACAGTTCCCCATTCACAGACATTACCAAAAATAGATTCGAGGCCACGAAGCAACAGAGCACTGACGTCGGAACAGAGGACAAACATCTTGATGGAAATATATACTGTACTGTAATTCATTTGCTGACAGCTGTTATATTCCAGTTTATTTTGTTTTATGTTTTTTTAATGAACAACATATTAACATTAGCATTGATTACTTGGATTTATTATTAAGGGTAACAGGTAAACAGTGCTCTTTGTCCAATGTACCACTACCACCTGGTCACCCAAAAGTTCTGCCTACAACGGTGTAACTTCAGTGACAAACTGTGCTATACTTACAGGATCTGGGGGGTCTGTAGCCAGGAAGCGCCACCGAAGTCTTGAGGATACTTGAACATTAGGAAGAAGTAGAGATGGCCCACCAGGATCCCCACTAACTCCATCATACCTCTGTTCACCAAAGAAAATAAATATACAGTAATGTGCAATAAGAGCCTTGTCATTTTATTTATGAAAGAGAAAATCCTTACAATATAATGATAGGAAGTTCATACCCAACTCTGGAAAGGTCAAGTGTATATTTTATGTAGAAGTGTTGTATATTGTTATATAACTGTGGCGATATAAGTCCCTGAACCCTGGCAATATGTGACATCTACTTTTGGGTGATATATATGATTGGTTTACATTTAATGATGTTGCTTTCCATCACATATGGTGGAACCACAAATTAGGAAAAAATATTTAGAAAATACATTAAAATTTCAATCTCCCTCACCAAATGACCCTCAAGTAGCTACTTACATGCCAGATACTGCCAAGTGTTTAGTGAATTTTGTGTAACACAGTGTTTAACTGACTATATACAGTGGTACCTCGGTTAACGAGCACAATCCGTTCTAGAAGGTTGCTCGTTAACCGAAACTATTGTTTCAATGGGTTTTTGGGTAATTGGTTCCAGCTCACCGAAAATTGCCTACATTCAACAAACAAGGTAGAAAAGTACAGTCATGCGCTGGTTAACGTCCTAGATACGTTCTTGGAAACGTGATGTTAACCGAAATGGACGTTGCCCGAAATTACATAAACCTATGGGATTTATTCTAATGGGGGTTCCAAGCACCCAACCCCAAGTTTCACATTTTACGACCATTTAGACCCACTAAATATATATATAATGTTATGGTAAATATCATAAACACACATAGGCATGGCTAGGTTTATTACAAAGTGATGAAAAGGATACTGTAAAGTGGGTAGTCCACAAAACATGTAGCTATGTCTCTCTTTATTTGAGTGCCCCGTCAAAGGAGTCTGTTTTTCTCTCACTTCAGGACGCCTGAGTCCTCTGTTTTCTCTCAATCTTAGAATGCACCCGAGACTTCGTTAATCCTTAGTAATGACACAGAATTTGATATTGCAACTGGGGTTGCAATTGTTGAGGCAACTTAGATATGTCTGATTACAGCAAATGTGTTATTGTCAATTTGAAGGTGAAAGATTTTATCCTCAATAGATGTAGGTTAACATTACACCTGGAGGCAAATGCCTAAGGAAGGAAGGATATTCCTTTAACACATAATATCTGGCTAGTATGGGGAGGATCATCGTGTCTCCGTCAGGGTGTCGTGGAGTGGTGGCCCAGCAGGCGTCACGGAAGTTTTTTTTTGGGGGGGGGCACGGACGTATATGCGATCGGACGTTGTTTGGTTGAACGTTAACCGGCGCATGACTGTACACTTACTTTGAGGTGTGTATGTAGAAGGCTCCTGGAAGATGATGCTGATGATGGGAATTAGAATGGGGGTGGAGGAGATGGGAGAAGAGAAGGCATTGGGGTGGAAGAGAAGTCACCCCATGGTGCCATTTCACCCATAAAATTTTAGTTCTCTTGGTGTAATTCAAGATTATTTTCTTTAAATCAACACTGCACTGCATTATATATTGTCAATATGTAAAATAAACTTCAAAATGACCAATAATTTGCTCGCAAACACAGAAAAAAGCATTTATTTGAGGAGAGTCTTAAGCAAGATGTTACCTACACTGAAAAGACACAAAGACTGACGCCTGTTTGGTGTGTTGACAGGCTGGATGGCGCGCATAAAACTAATTTCATTACCTTCAATTATTTCAATAATTGTTAAAATGACTAAAAAATTTAATATTAAACTTATAAATTATTGAATAGTATAAACTTCTTGATATTTACTAAAATAGTAAGGAATTCAAGCCCTACAACCGATTACTGTATTGACGGACTAATACTACAGATGGTGGACCGCCAAATGCAAGCGAAAACATGTTGATGTCGGCTCGTAAGAAACTCGTTAATCGAGGGATTGCTCGTTAACCGAAGTTAAGAATCTTATGGAAGGTAACTCGTTAACCGAGGCGCTCATTAACCAAGGGACCACTGTATCCCGCATTATGGTATCAAAGAATGAAAGTGTTTTATACACTAACAATCTTTAATTATCTCGATGGCCCTACATTACGAGAGCACTGGGAAGTCCTACATAATAATGCCCAGTTCCATGTTTTGCTGAGATCTTTTGAGTAGAACTTTAGTAAAGAAGACAGAAAAGAAGAAGGTACTGAGGCATGTCCTGGTGGGATCAAATATAGTAGATTTTCTCTTAATGATATACACAAACTAAATTTTGTTAAAGATTAATAGTCAGAGTGACAATCTGAAATGTTTACATTGGCCAGAATAATACACCTCCCTGTCCAGATGGATATGATTATTATGAAAGCTACCCGTCATATGAAGAAGACATGCCAATACTCCCCTGTACTGTACTTTAGCTCTGCTAAAAAGATAAGCATAGCATCCAATACCAGTCTTACCCTCCTGCAATGATCATGTTGAATCCTAGGAGGACCCATGGCAAGTACATGGCTTTGAACTGTGTGCCAAACCAAAAGGTGACAATGGTATCCTTGTTGAGCTGACACCACACATAGAGGACTGCCATCACCATGGGGTCCATTAACACCACCATCTCTCCAAGCAGAGCCACAATAACACAGCAGATCCAGGAAAACAGCAACATAAAGAGGTAGTCAGCTGGTCTGCCAGTAAAGAGACCTGTCAAAGGGTAGAAATAATGATACACATGAATTTATCACATGAAAATGCCGCTAAAAAATAACTACATGTGCAGTGCAATATAGTGTACCAATAACATTAAGGTCCAAATACTATACTGTATACTGCACAGTAGTGTACTCAAAAGTTTGTTTTTTCACTGTAATGTGTTGTGTTGATAACCCACTGTAAGATGTAGACATTATTGTTCTGTTGGCACTACCTGGCAACCTCTGGTAGTGGAGAGTCTGCGGGGCCAATTGTCGCCTGTCAGGCTTTTAGTTCGGATCTCTACATTAAAGTTTTCGGCCGCTACTCGGTGTTTCTCCTTCACCTTCAAGAAAACACCTGACACCCACTTAAATACAGTCATCCCTTGGTTATAGCGCACTTGGTTATCGTAATTTTCGTTATCACGCCTCCATCAAAATCTGCACACCTACTGTTATAGCGCATTTTTCAAGCCGAGAATTTCGTTATTACACAGTTGCCTCCAGGTGTTTTTACCCATTTGCTTCAACTACATTTATTGAGGAAAAAAATGTTCACCTACAAATTGACAATAACACATTTGCTGTAATCAAACATATCTAAGTTGCCTCAACAATAGCAACCCCAGTTGCAATTTCAAATTCTGTGTCATTACTAAGGAATAACAAGTCTCGGGTGCACTCTAAGATTGAGAGAAAACAGAGGACTCAGGCGAACTGAAGCGATGAGAAATCGGACTCCTCAGACGGGAGATTCAAATAAAGAAAGCATAGCTACATGTTTTGAGGACTACAGTATTGAGTGTACCCTTTTCAACAACTTTGTAATAAACCTAGCCAAGCCTATGTGTGTTTCTGATACTTACCATAACATTATCTATATCTTTAGTGGGTCTAAATGGTCATAAAATGAGAAAATTGGGGTTGGGTCTTGGGTGCCTGGAACCAATTAGAATAAATCCCATAGGTTCTGTACTTTCGTTATAGCGTTTTTCATTATCACGCACTCGGCGCGGTCCCAATTAGGCGTGATAACCAAGGGATGACTGTAATATCAAGCTGTCATTAAATTATATTTAGGCTACAAAATATGATCTAGGTAAAGTAGCGAAAAAAAGTATGTGTGTGTACTCTGTGTGAAACAATATGAGATCATAGACAATAGATATTGGGATATGTGTGTTGTCTCCTTATACAGGTACTTCCGACCGCCGCAGTTGTATAAAATATTTTTCCAAATTACGTATTTTCGAGTCCCGATGTCATGATCGTAATGACGGCTAACCTGTTAAACTAATGATCCATATTACGCTTACATGTCCACAAAACCTTCTGAGTCTCCTAGTGGGAATGTGCTCCGTTCTCCCTGTTTCTTTGATGACGTCATTGAGATGTCTTATGTTTGTTGACTGTAGTTGTAAATTCTTTCTGCTACCGAGAACCTTTAAACCTTTTTTTTTCACCTATGATTAACAGAGACTCTGATAATCATAGTGAAATTGTGGTAGGGAGGTTAACTGAGGAATGAGTTAATATTCCTGGAAAGGAAACTTTAAAATCTGCTCGACGGGTGTTGCAGCAAGGCTTTGCGTGTTGGGGCCTGTTGCCATCCAACCTTTTGTTATCAATTTAATTCCTGCTTTTGATAGCTCAGTCAGAGCATTGTTTGTAAAGATAATAGTAGGGAATGAAACTGAGTTCGTAGTCTCAGTTTCAAACGTCAGAGTGTTACAGTAACGTAATTCAGTGAAATGGTTGAGTCGGTGGAATCTGTGACTTTAGGGGGGGGGTGGAAAGCGGCGGTTGCTTTTTTCAAACCATTCAGCGTCATGCTCCTCCACCCACAGGTAGGTCACTCCACCTTCTCGGTGTTGTAATTCGCCATTTTTAAGTGATTTGACCTAAAAATAGTTTGTTTGTACAAGTGTTAAAGTAACGTAGTTGATGTGCTTTGAGTGAAGTATTTTATGTCCTTAGTTAACGTCCCTTTGAAACGTTGGGGTTCGTTATACACCGTCAGTCAGCGCCATGCTCCTCCACCCACAGGTCCCTTATGCAGCCTAGGCCGTGTCTAGCGTGGATGACGCATCCACTAGTCTTGGGAGATATCTGAGGTCCAGTGGAGTCGGGTGTCCCCTTGAACCCCAACCGTCAGAAGCTCCACTACCACCCATGGGCCCCATAGGGGGTAGTATTCCCCTAAAACCCTGCCCGTGGTGAACCCGGATCGTCAAGCCCCCAAACAACTGCCAGCCCCATCATTGGTGGATGAGTACAGTACATAACTCGGTGGGGCTGTTGGTGTGGTGGTGTTAGTCCACTGGAATTATCAGAGTTTGTTGGAAGGTGTCAGTCACTTGGTGATGAAACTCCCAAGGCGATCACTGGAGTATTGCCCCTGAGGTATTGAGTGTTGTACTGGCAGGTGCCACTGGTTTTATTGGTACTAAGGTGCTGTAAGAGTTTATGTGCATTTTGGTGTGTGTACACCCAGTAGTGGTGCAAGTAAATTGAGCCTGAGGGCATGGTACCAGGAGTTCCTGTTTTGGGTAAATACAATGTCTTTTCTGTAACCATTTTTGTGTTTAATAAACATTGTATTTGTATGTGGGTCTATGATTCACCTATAGTATTCACCGTTGTTCTCTCCCTAATACTCGATACTATATTTACATGTACCCATGGGCCTTCCTCTCAAGTCACGCTACCAGGTCAGAGTATCAACGTAAGTGTAAGAGTGCCAAGCCCTTACAGGGTGGCAGCTTGTGGTGTGCGCTCTTACAAATGGTGGCCTCGGTGGCTCAGCAGTAAGAATAGCAGCCCCCGCTCGTACACCGACGTCAGTGATAGCGCTGTGTACTGACAAAATTTTCGTTTGTAATAATTCCCTTTAAAATGGCTGGCAAGCGTAAATGTGAGAGTTCTCGTGGTGCTGAGAAGAAAAAGAGACACCCATTTTAGATTTTCTATGCATTATTTTCACATTATCGACTTGCGACCAATTCGACTTACGACCTGGCCGTCGGTCCCTAACCCCGTCGTAAGTCGGAGACTGACTGTACTATGTGATAGTAATCACTTAACTGTATATTTTATTCATATATGCCAACCAACCCCGTGTTGCATACTGAATGGCAGTGGGTGAAGACACACATACCAACCCTCCCGAGACATCACGAGTTGTACGTATAATTTTGGAAGTCATCAGACCCACCCTGTCAGATACTTTTTTTTAACTACTGTACATCTTATTTCTATATAAATGAGCGATGGATCCACGGAAGAGCTTATTTATGGTTACAATCTCACTTAGGAACATAAGTTCAATAATACCAATTTCTGATTTGGGATCCTCTATCCACACTACCAACATTTTCTCCATCTTTACTGATAGACTGAACTTTCAATCTTGTTCGTATATTCCTTTTTCGTTCGTGTATGCTCGACTCCCTCATGTTAAACACAAGGCCAGGCACTGAGACGTCCATGCTACTCTCAAGTTGTCTAAGTACAGTGATATCCCCATTAGCCAGAACAATTGGTGCAGAGCACTTCCAGGAATGAGAGATTTCTGGGTAACGCGCTGAATCTCTCAAATCCGGAAAAATATCCCTCATCCTCGAAAGTACCAGAAATTACCCATTACATCATTTCTAAAACTCAAAAAATATCCCCCATCCCCGGAATTTTCCGGGTACAGGTAGTTCCCATTCCTCACATTCAAACTCCTTCACACCATTGTGTACAAGTAAATGTCTCTGAAGAGTAGACTTGAAGCCAAACTGTTTGCCACATTCCTCACAGGAGAACTTTTTATCTCTGCTTGACATTGTGAACTTCTACTTAGTTACACTTGGTCTTGAGATGTGACATCACAGTATCTGAAACAAAATATTTTGCCTCAGATGATATTCTTATAAAAGTACAGTTTATAAATGAAAACTACAAGTGACTAAATCAATTTGTGTAAAATAAGAGTAAAAAATAAAAAATAAATAAATAAAAAGGTTATATTAATGTACCGTATATCGCGGCCTATAAGGCTCTATTTGCTGTATAAGACCAGTACCCCAAATGTGACACTTACCCACTGACTCAGTAGTCCTTTACCAACCATCCTTGGTTTTTTTAAAATAAGGCCAATTCACTTCAAGTAACGTCATCAGATATTACCCGCTGGTGTAGTGTAAACACTAGTGACGTCACTGAAGCGTCTGCTATTTACCGGTAACTGGAACTAATGTCGGTGTCGAGTAAAATTTTTCCATTTACTTGAAATGGATTTACCGATTTATTTGTTTATTTATTTATTTATTATATACTGTAACATATTAAACACACTGCAAGTATTTTCTTTCATTTATACGCTTGCTTCGCACGAGACGATCGGTGGTGGGAGTGTTCCCTCGTCTCGGTGGTGTGACTGTGTTCCGACTATTTATACAACAGGTGGTTCAACAGCAACCACCGTATTCTAACTGTGGTGTTTCATTAGGATTTGAGTGAAAAAGGTTACCGGTATGTACTTACTACATACATTTATTACACAAACATATATATATATAATCATATAATATATATAATCATATATATATATATATATATATATATATATATATATATATATATATATATATATATATATATATATATATATATATATATATATATATATATATATATATATATATATATATATATATATATATATACAGGTAGTTCTGCTATAACGCGATAGTAGTGTTCTTGTAAAACATCGTGTTATAGAAATTCGTGTAATAGAAATAACAGGGCTTATGGAGAAAATAGGGTTAGGTGCAGATTACTCCAAATCAAAAAAAAATTTCGTAGTTAGCCTAACACAAAGGATAGCACAGTCTAAATAAATGTTACATTCATATCTAATAATGAAATCATACAGTAAATGTTACACTTTACCTTGAAAAGATATGAATATAACTTGATGGGGGAGAAGGGTGATGTTGAGGCTGAGGAGTCATGAAACATCAAGCTTTTCTTCAAGTGTTATAGCCTTTCT